GATCATGTGAGATGATCATGTGAAGCGATCATGAAATGATCGTTTGTGATTATGAAAATATCTAATCACAACAATATATATTTTTTTAGATTTTTTGATTCAATCTAATAAAGTTATTCTAATTATATAAAGTTAATTATTTACTTTATATGTAATTAGAATAGCTTTATCAGATTAAATCTAAAAAATTTAAAAAAATATATATTACAATAGATAATATTATCTTTATTATAATATAAAATAAAAAATATTTATTAGTAAAATTACAAATTTTTATATAAAAAAATCTATATTTTTTATATTTTTATTATGTTTTATTAATAAATTTGTTTTAATATTGTATTCTTTTTGATTGTTATAATAAATATATTTTTGTTTAGATCTTAATATAAAATTATTCAAAAATTGTAAATATTTGTAAATATTTTTATTAAGTTATTAGAAACAAGTTTTTTCAATATTATAAAAATGTTAATATAATAAAAATGTTAATATAATAATATTTTAATACTAAAAGCAATAAATTAAATATTTAATATTTAAATAGAAATAAAAATTAATTGATAAATATTTTAATAAATAATTTGAAACAAAATTATAAAAATATTATAAATATAAAAATATTTTTAATTATCAAAAAAATTTATTAAAATAAAAATGAACTAAAAATTTTTTAAATTACAAATATATTTTTTATTATAAAATATATTTACTTTAATTTGTTTGATTTATTTATTTTAATTTTTGATTAATAAATATATTTGATATTTTATTAGTTATAGTAGTTATTATATATAATAAGAAAAATATACTATTTTTTATTTTTGCATTATAAAAACTATTTGAAATTATATAAAAATTTATAGTTTTATAATTTAATATAGTGCAAACAAGTTTTTTAAGATTATTTAGTAATATATCTTATTTCTATTATTCTTAAATATTTGATTTTAATTTTTAATATAATACTTAAAAATTTTCTTTTTTTGGCTTTTTTTTAATACTTTAATATATTACAAACAAGTTTTTTAGGCTATTTTAGTAGATTAAAGTATATATATTTAAATTTTTATATGTTTTCGATCCATTTTCATGATGTAATAAAAAATTACCATTTAGATTAATCGACTTACCGTAAAGCGCTCTGTATAGTATCCCCCTTTGTATAAAATTTAAACCTCAAGACTGTTAAACCAATAACTAAATTTCTTAAAAAATCGCATAGTGAAATCTAATTTAATTATTTACATAAAAAATAATTGAATTTACTAAAAAAAAATTGAACCAAATTGTGGTTCAAATTTTTACAAGGGGGGATATTATAAAGAGCGCTTTACGGTATAGACGAACTGACATAACAGTATTAGATGTTATTTGTCCATTATTTTTGCGTTCATCGATTGCATGTGAGTGAAAATCAGGTGATCAATGATTAGCGATGCAAGTGGTGCGTTATTTATGCGGGCCACTGTACATGAGGTTACTGTAAAAAGACAATCCTTTTTTTTTTACATGTATAACGTTATATCACGTGACTAAATTACTAAATTTGGATCGACTAAGTCAGCTGAGTTGAATTTTTTTTAGATATAAACTTAGTCGAGTCAATAATTTAAAGTCGACTTGGAACAATATATTTAACTCCAGCAAAAATTATCAAATCTAAATTGTTTGGGGAGTTAATCAGCCGTGATGATATTAGAAACATCATTTGAAAGAATGCAGTGAATTTTCGCAAGTTGAGTTAATGGATAAATTATTTATTAATATAAAAAATATCTATGATATATACAAAAAAGATAATATGTATGGAATAAAATGTCCCGCAAACTAATTATTTCTAGGTTGTAAATAAACATCCAACTCTTTAAATTGATATACTCCTGTGAATCCAGTCATGGGTGGCGCGTTTTTGTCCGCTAACTCGACTTTATACTTTCTAAATAAACTAATCAGATTAGACTTGATATTAACCATTGCCATATTTCTTCCCGGGCATTTTCGTATACCGCCGCCAAACGGAAGATACGAATTCTTTTCAAACATCGAGGACAGATCATCTTCAAAATTGCTGCCATTGTTTGTATTCAAAAATCTCTCAGGATTGAATTCTTGAGGATTCGACCAATGCTTCTCATTCATGTGTAATCCTTGAAAGAATGGCCAAAACAATGTGTCCGGCTCCCATTTGTATCCGCCTACTTCGTCGACTGTCGTGTTGACTCTGCCCATCACGGGGAGTGGAGGGAATAATCGCAAGGTTTCGTGGATTATAGCGTTCAAGTACTTGAATTTTTTCAAATCTTCGAATGTTATTTGGTGTTCGTAATCAAAGCTAAGAATTGTTTCGATTTCTTTGAGGAATTTTCTTTGAACATTTGGAATTTTTAGAATGTAGTAAGTTGCTAAACTGAATACCCAACTCGTCTAGATAATTTGAATCAATGAATTTGTTATGAGAAGGTTTTTAGTATTTAACTGATGACAAAATATATTAAAAAAAAATATAAGCGAAATTAACCTCTTCAATGCTTCCATGACAAACTTCCAATAATATTCTACTAATTTCACTTTTCTCCAAAGTTCCCATAAATCCTCCATTAACGTCAATCATTCGATCCGGATCTCGTTCAGTATTAGTGGTCAATAACATAGTCAATAAATTCGACTCTAAATCCGCTTCTTTTGGTAAGGTTGCGATTTCTTTCTCTCGCTCATCAATTATTCCGTACAATATATCGTTGAGGCTCTTCGCATGTTTTACGCATTTTGTGTTAAAGTGACTGAATCCTGGGACGTAATGTCTCAACCATTTCGGCAGCGAAAAAATGTAGAGTATGTCAACACCCCATTCATGTGTGAGTTTTGGGAATTCGATTGAAAGTTCTCTCGCGACGGAATTACTGCCTGAGTTTTGTTTTATTTTTTTCGTCTTTGTATAGTTCTCGAGCGAGTAAGTATTTTCTAGGTGATTGACTAATGAGCCTCCTTTTTTACCAGTTGCCATTCTTATAATCAAGTCGGCATTGAAGTTCAAAATTGTGGTGGCTAAGTTTATTTTGGTCGGTCCTGCCGACCCGCCACTGTTTTCATCGCTAATAAAGTCCAGATATTGTGATGCATCGCAAAAGGACTCTTGTTGCTGTTGTAAGGTTTCCGCTTGAAATTTAGGCGACATTAATGATTTCGACAAGAATTTTCTGTTGAATTTCCAATTTTCGAAATTGTGATTAAAGAAAACTCCATTTCCATTGTATCCTAATTCTTTTAAATTGCTATTGGCCGGATACTAAGATTACGAAATCCCATTAATAAATTACATGTTAACGTGTTTATAATATTAACCAAATAAAAAATAACTTACCCTATTAAAGAAATTAGTCTTGGTCGACGGATCCATCAATTTATCCATGAGTTCCGCATTACTGATCACAACAACTTTCTGCGAACCAAGGTAAATTTCATAAATTTCGCCGTAACGTTGGCTTAATGCAAAAGCCCATTCTGGAGCATTATTAAGACCAAATTTTGCTGCATCCAGCAAGTTTCCAATTAATGGCAATGGCAAAGGTCCAGGTACTTTATTCTTTCTCGAGAAATATTTGTAGTAGTAGAATGAAATGTAGACGGCGATCAAAGTTAGCGCTACCGAGGTCCAGTCAGAGTTTAAAAAGATTCTTAAGAGTGCCATTGTTTTGTTCTTTGGGTTTGTTAGAAATGTATAGAATGTATGCACTCAATTCTTGTTGAAAAGTTTTAATAATGAAATAAGACTTGTTAAGAAAATTAATTGTTTTCTTAGAAATTTGTTTTTTCTTTTGTTCTATCGAATTCTTCACTCATCATAATCATATTTATACTTTTTTTTGCGCGAAACTTTTTCGAATTTCGCGAATGATGATGCTATCAACATTTATGACAATTTTGGTTAGCTTGAGGTTGATAATCATAATTCAGCAACTTTGTATCCTAACACAGCATACCATTACGTACCCATTTTTGTATGATTATAGATGGCAATAACGGAATAATAATTTTGCTCGGTAAAAATAGAATTTGTCAATTGCAGAATTTTCATGTGGCGGATTTGAAGAAAATTTCCGAATGATCAAAGAATTAAACCAACAAAAAGCCTCTTTTTCTCTTCATTTGTAGATAAAATTAACAGTGCTATTCTTACAATGTTTTAGGACAATTGGAATATTCGAATCTATTATTCAATAATCAATGACCTTTGATTTTTTTATTTGAATTCGGAAAGGATAGTTAATTTTTGTATACTCTTTGTATATTACATTTTCAAAACATTGTATGGTTAAATATTGTATGATAGTATCTTTAAGCTTCGCTGTCAACACTACCAAATATATCAACGACAACAAAGATTATTACTTACGAATTTCATTAATAATTCAATGACAATGACTAATCAGGTTATAATAATAGCAGATTCGCGTCGTTCATTGTTGAATCCGAACAATAAAAATCTTTCGGTACCTGAAGGCTGAAATATGCCGAGTGTTTCTTGTCCAATAATTGAAGTTTCTTCTTGTTCTTCGAAACTCGGATCCTTTTCATCTTCGTTTTCGAGAGGATCTTCCTTTTCTTTATGAACAATTTCGTGATTATTATTTATGTTGTTGTTATTGGTTATAAAATTATTCACCGATTCGGTTGTTTTTTCTACGTCTATTATTCCTCCAATATTATTGTTATTATTGTTATGATTGATATCATCTTTATTCTTCTGACTACTGCTTCGAAATTCTTGTGCACAATGCAATAAGGGAGTCGATGATCTAGTTGATATAATTTCAGCTGAATCTCTAAACGAAATTGAACGTTTACTCTTATTGTTTTTTGCGTTCGTGGTAGGGGAAGAAGGAATTTGTTGTTGCTGATGACGAGGTTTTTGTTGCTGTAATTCGCGTTCAAGTATCGCAGAAGCAATTTGAATCTCATCTTTAACTTGATTCTCTGTTACCAAGCGTAACGGACGAAGCTTGAATTGTTGTTGCTGTTGTTGTTGTGATACACTTCGATTTTTATTTTTCGACCACATTTTCATTGTTCTCAGTCGAAGATTCTTCATGTGACCACGTATAACGAGAATAAATAGTAATATGGTGACGAGGAAAGCGAAGGATATTGCAATTGAGAGTACTAGAGTTTGAATGGTGATGTTGTCTGAAAAGTCGCGTCGGTGTAGAAGATGTCGTGGCATTATTTTTTATGAGAATTCACAATTTTTAAATAAGGTTGCTTAGCTTTCTCAAAACTTTCTCAAAAGAGGTTTTGTCTCGTTTCTAGAGCGTGCCTTTAATTGAAATTCGGAGAAGAAAGATTCATTGTTGTATTTACACAACGTTTTTTCAATCATCAACCCAATGTAGAATACACGCGCACACACAAAAAAAACGTGGTTCTTAAATAAAGAATTAACTTTATTGTTACGAGTTATTACATTGTTTTATTTATTTATTCTTATTCTTATTATCAGTGCATTGTTTTATTTATTCTTATTCTTATTCTTATCATCAGTACATTGTTTTATTTATTCTTAATACATTGTCTTTATCGTCCGAATTTTTTTTGGGGGCTTTCTCTAAATATTAACGAGCTCCTCGTTTTAAAAAATCTGCTTTTGTTAGTCGTGAAGTGGGACTTGTACATAAAAGTAAAAAATAACAAAGATCACACTAAAATTATAACAATGCTAATTCTTGGCAATATAATGAAACAGGTGTTCTTCGTATTATCAATGATGGCTATTACAGCAACAATAATTTTCTTGGGCTGCTGCTAATAATACTATGCGAAGAGGTTACTAATTCTACAGTGGCAAATAGCATACACATCTTTTATCAGTGTTTGCGAAAATCTTATATTTTTTTCGACACCAAATTGTGTATATTTACCACCGCCACTAATTCTAATAGCTTATGAAAAATTAGTTATCAAGGTGCCAAAAATTAAGCACTTTTTTGTACCGAAGTCATCCGGGCTTGTAATCGTTATACATGTATAAAAATTTTTTTACTGCAATTTCTAGTACGTATTCTACGATCTGCTGCTCGTGTGAATTATCATTTTAAATACATGTTCTACGTACGCCCTGACGTTAAATGATGAGAGTACACATGCATTAAACGATGAGATAAAAGAAGAGTAACATGCATGAAAACGAGACAGAAAGCTTTTTATAACCTTATTATTATTGTTGTGTGTAAACAGTAAAATATCCTTTTTTAACATAGTAAATGCATGTTGTCATTAATTTTATGCACGTTGACATAAATTTAATAATTATCATTATGTATATCGATATATATAAATGTACATATCATGTTGAACGGGTACTTACCATATCGATATATAGAACACGGACTTTTTACAACGAAATTACTAAAAAGGAAAGGGAGATACGCACATGTATTATCATTATCGTTATGCTAAGGAGGGTATTTATTTCAAAATGCGGTATTGTATAAAGTGAACTCAGGTGGATTCTAAATTTTGAATACTAGCGCTAGTGTTCATAACGATAGCATATGTACATGTATATGGGTTTTGAAATAATCGTAACGGTATCGGTATTTTGAGAGTCACTAATTAAAAATAAAATTTTACCTGATCTATCATTCTTTTTAACTTGATTCACTTTGTCTTAATTCTTTTTATTTGATTCTTTCGACACGTATTCAATAGGACGTTTGCTGGTCAATTTTGAAATCTAGTGTTTGTTAAAAAAATAGTATACAATATTTTAAGACTCCTCCGTCGTCGCTGTTAACGAAAAAACTTATGTTGTGTTTGGCATCTTTTCCATCATCCTCAACATCAATATCAAACTCTCGTGAGACATATGCTAGCATTAAAATATAAATAAATAAATACGTACGTAATATCTAATCAAAGTCGTGGTATAACATAAATTTTACCTTCATTTGTTTCATTTTGAATATCTATGTCATATTCAGTAGTCACATATTCTAGAGTTATATGCAAACAAATATCGATATCGATATGTTTAAATTATTTTAACAAAAATAATATAGCAAGTACGTTTACCTTCGTTTGGAACAAACAAACTGACACTTGACATTCCTAAACATTCGATATGAAAATAATTAATATGAAACGTCAAGGTGATTTATATTTAGAAATAAAATATACCTGTGTTAGTTGGAATGGATAGTAAACATTCGACTGGTGTAAACTGCGTTTGAGTGGATTTTTTTTGATCATATTTGTAGGAATGCTTTTTTTTTTATTTCTGCTTTTCTAGTTTGATACACTCTTTGATTTCTTCATGTGTTTTAGGATATCCTACGGAGCTGTAATACTGAAAATGCAAATTACTCAGTTCTCTATCATGGCCTATGATAGACCAGATAAAGTTAACAAGTTCCTCAGCAGTTGGTCTGTTTTTTTTTTTGAATAGGATCCCACATTTTTCAATAATAAACTTGAATGATTTAGGAACATTGTTTGGTATTGTAGGCCGTACTCCGTTATAGATGTCGCACACAAGATGTATACCATGACTTCGCTTACCAAATGGTCGTTCATCTGTGGCAATCTCATTCGTTATCATCCCAAAACTATAAATATCTGCAGATTTAGTGTTTTTTTCCATTTAGTACTTCCGGACTTATATAAGGAAGTACTCCGAAATTTTTTTTCTATATCTGCTGGTTTGGTAAGTCCAAAATCAGCAATTTTAGCATTATAATCTATTAACGTTAATATATTTCTAGGGTGCAAGTCACGATGCACAAATTCCCTAATGTGAATTATATACAACCCTCGAATAATATCATTTAAATGTTTTAATTTTTGTTCCCAATTCAATTTTTGATGATTTGAATTTATATATTTGCGTAGATTGCCATCTTTTGCATAATTCATCACTATCGAAGTATTTATTTGTAGCTGGATTTTTAGTTATTCCATAATAATTGAAATAGAGATAAGTGCATTTTAAAGCAGTCTGAATCTAATTTTGAAAAAGTCAATAGATTGAAAACAAAAAAGCAATACGCTTACACTTTAAAAGGTGTTCATTTTGCCTCGTTTATAAACTCGGATGTAATTTACTTTGAATTGTATAATGATTTCAACACAATGTCGGATTTTCTCTCTCGTTTGAATTTATTTTCTTCATGCTCCCATCTCGTATATCTATTCAATGATCCGTCCAACCAGGTTGCTTTATAAATAGATTCAAAACCTCCTTTTGCAATATTCAACATTGATAAATCTTTCAAAAGTGATCCATTCGAATGATCTGTTTGCACCAGCAATTCTGTTGCATTCATTTACTAGACTGTCGATATCTTTATTTCCACTAGACCATTCTACATAAATTCGTTTGTGATAATTATTACACCCATAACAGTACCAATTAATTTGACATTTGGTACATTTACTACAATCATGAATATTGTGAACTGAACACGTTTTGCAGTAGTAATTGTTTTGACAACGCCAGCATTTACAATACTATGCACAATATTAAACGATGAGAGACAGAACGCATAAAAAGAAGGCTCTTTTTTGTGTAACTAACAAATACATGTGTTCTTTTAATATGTTGTAGGCGTGATATGTCATTTAGTGATAAGAATAGTAATTATATTATCGGCATTAACGGTCATAGGACATGTCCCTTCCAGTGTACGTATTAATTAAAGATCGACCAATGCATAAAAGATAGGCACTCCTGAAATGTTTGCCAGGTTGATATAGAGTTAGGGTTAGGGTTAAAGTGTGAGTAGAGTTATATGTAAAATTGTCATTATTGCATTTTTCGCATTTTTCATTTTTTTGCGTCGGATTGTTTTGCCGGGCTGATCAAAAATTTTCACATCCTTATTGGTCTGTGCCACCGGTAAATCGCATTCTTATTGGTTTGCACCACAGGAGTGCAAATATAGTTACACATAAGGGAGAAGGGGGGGGGGGGTGTTATGACGGAGGAGGGTATTGTGACAAAGTTATATATCACAATATTGGTCTTTTTAATCTACTTCTGAATACTAAGCAAATATATGGAGAAATATGTTTTACACATATTTAATTATTACTCGGAAGCAGGTTAAAAAGTCCAATTTTAAGAAAAAGCTATTTGAACACACAAAATTAATCAAATTAGTTTACTCGGAGCCAATTTTTTCTAAATTGATCTTTTTAACCCGCTTCTAAGTAATAAGTAAATATGTGTAGTGCGTATTTTTTCATATATTTAATGATATAAGCACTTTAAAATTTTTGTATTTTTAACTTTTTAAATTTATATTATAAGAAAAATATCAATTTAAATTATTTTGTTTACAAATTATTTATATTAAATATTCTAAAATTATGAAAAAAATAATTATATTATTTAATCTATTTAATATATTTCTAAGAGAAATGCTATTTATCAAATAATTTTTATTAATTAGAATATATTAAATATTCTAAAATTATGAAAAAATAATTATATTATTTAATCTATTTAATATATTTCTAAGAGAAATGCTATTTATCAAATAAATTTTATTGATTAGAATATTATAAAAACATTTATCAGATATTTTTCATTAATTAAAGAGAGATTATACTTTTTTCTTCTGATTTAATAATACTTTAACCAATTAAATAGACTTATAATTATATCTAATAATTAACAAATACTACTTACACACTCTTTCAAAATCACTTGATTAATAGTATTCTTCTAATTATAATAATTGAGTTTAATTATTTTCAAATTCTTATTGGATAATATTTTATTATTTTATATTTATTAAATTATTATTTATTGATTAAATTATTTTTAATTGAATTTTTATTTAAATTTCAGTTCAAATTTTTATTTTTAATTCAAATTTCATCAGTTCAAATTTTTATTTGAATTTTGATTTAAAATTCAATTATATTTTTATTTTTATTGATAGTTTAATATTTATTAATTATTTATAAAAAAATATATATTTTAGTTTAGAATTAAATAATCAAGTTTTTATTGATTTAAAACAAGCTTTTTAATAATGTTAATATTAATATTAATAAATAAATAAAATTTTTATTATTATTTTAATTTAGTTTTATTTAGTTTTTATTTTAGTTTAGTTTAGTTGTTTCTGATTTCTCATTTTAATTGTGAAATTATATTTATTTTAGTTGGTTTATGATTTTTTGTCTTAATGGCAAATTTATATTTGTTTAATTTATTAAAGATTTTTTTATTTTAATTGTAAAATTCTGTTAAATTAATTTAATAAAACAAATTATTAAACTTATCTTCATATTTGTATTCGTATACGGAACAGCATTCTTCTATTGCCAAGTTTATAGAGAAACAATGCAAAAGTTTCATGTAGAGATCGTTTTCCCTTCGACCACTAATATCGGAAGCCATTTAAATAAAGTGCATAGAATTTTTTCCATTAATAATTCTTCTGAACCAGCGAATAATCAAACTCAACTATCAGAACTGGCACAAACGATTTAAACCCTACAAATATTCACTACAATGGATATTTGAGGACTTAAAGCCTTTCAATATTGTTGAGACATCAACTTTTGTTAATTTATGCAAGGCTTTAGTTGAATGATTTCTGTACCATGTGTCAGTACAATAAAAGTAAAATTAGGCGAATGCAGAAGAACGTTTACAATATGAAATAAGTCACTCAAGAAAGACTTGTAGCTTTACAGTCGATTTTTGGACGCAATTTCACATTCCATTGGCGTAATAGAATTACTGAATTTCTTCATGTATTATTTGAAAAATGGTGTATATTGGACAAAGTAATTGCAGGCGTTAGTTGATAATGCAAAAAATATAACAGTTGCATTACAGAAATTTAATTATCAACATATTACGTGTTATGCTCATGCTCTTCAACTTGCAATAAATGAGAGTCTTAAAGAATGTAGTGAACTTATTGATAAGGCTAAAACGTTGAATAACGCTTTAGTTTATCGTGACAAATATCGTGAAACTCTTCGACGACGTATACAACAATTAGTGATTAATGACACGCAATCAAATTCAAATAATTCGTGATGATGGAATAGCACTTCTAATGTATTACAACATCTACATATTCTTTATTAATTCTTAAAAATGATAGTTTAAAACGATGGCAATAGTTTAGAATCATTATTATTAAGTAATGACGAATGATTATATCGTTATTAGATCTATTAAAGCCATTTGTTCAAATTATGATTATTTTGACGAACATGTGCTTTCATATTCTGAACTAATTATCATTTTTTTCTGGGTAATGGATCTATAAAATGTCAAGAGATGTGTTTTCCATATTAAAACTGAAGGTCCGGTCAACTGGCACACTGGTATCGTTATCCCTCTGTCGATAATGTCCTTTTCCACGGTCTTCGTCAGTATGGGAAAACTTCAATAGCGTATGCGCTTTGCGAAGATAATTATCTCGGCGCATTAACAACAGTGTGCATCTACTCCCTGACCAATGCGTCTAAAGACAAATCTTCAAGCGATTTTGGTATTCATTTGCTAACGGTATTTGGACAAGCAGACACCACAAGTTGATTGTCAATTGCAACGTCGAGAGTGAAATCACGGATTAAATGCGAAACATTTTTTCGGACAATCAAAAACAACATTGAAAAAACCTTCAGTTATCACCCTAGACGAGTTTGATAGTATTATTTCAACGGATGCTAACGCAAAGCACCATTTGCATGATTTGCTTGCAGTTTTACGCAGTTTCCAGAGAAATCCACACTCTATGGGTTTTAGGCATCGGAAGATTTAGGCTACGGTTATTGAATGACTTGGTCACAATATCCCGTTAAATCTAAGTCAATCCTTGGCGGCTGAACCCTTCGCTGTAAAAATGATAGATAAATACTATCAACCTGCCGAAGATTACGCGGGAAAGTGATTCCATCCGATATCAATCTTGTCCCACGCAATACCAATGTTTAACTCGGGAACGTTGGCGTTTCCTGGAGATTTAATAGACAATTACCTTCAGGATATACATTTCAGGTGGAATTATACGCGTTTGACCCTCTTTATTTTGAAGCACAAACGGTTGGGCGATTATACTTGATGGTCAGTGGCCGTCGCAGCAATATACTGAGTTCTGGGCACATACTGGAAGCAATCATCAGGCGGCAGGTTACCGTGTCGTGTGAATATGGAAATCGAAGGCACGTGGATGATTAACTTTGTCCCTATTGGTCATAAGATGGACGAACCACTGGAAAAAAGATATCCACCGCGAGATTATCCTAAAGTGAACGTTGCCCACGTTTTTCATGCAATGAATTTACCGTTAGCTATCTTGAAACTGGGAAGAACAGATAGTCATCAAGTCTGCTGTAAGTGATTTGGAATTAATCTAGATTATGCACTGTCAGCTCTCTAAATGTAACCGTCATAAATGCAATCTCTATCGCACGTCACCTTTCAGTCTCATAGATAAGTATATATACAGTCTGTAACAAAAAAACTGTAAAATACGGACAAAATACAAAATTATTTAATTCGCTTTGTTCAATGCGATTTGTGATGCATAACATAAAAAACAGATATAATCAACATGAATAAACTCAATATAACTTAACAAACATTATTTGTTTTAATATTCTCAAATAACACTCATCCGAATGTCTATATCCAAAAAAAAAATACATAACGCCAAGTCTTATTACATTTATGGAATGAAGAATTCATAATGCCAAAGATTTGTATATAGACTAAGATTTCACTTAGTACAATTTATGACAATATTAAAAAACTGGAACTGTAAACTATGTAGGAGGCAATGGTCGACCACGAAAAATTACCAGAAATTTTTCCAGAGCCCTTGGACAATATATTTGAAGAGATACCTCAATTTCAACAAGAACTTTAACCAAAAAATTAAGTCAAAAATATCTTGAGGTATCTCATTGACTATTTTAAGATATTTAAAAGCTCATGAATATAAAAATTCTCTTCCAAAAAAAGCACCAATGCTCATAGACCTTCACAAACAGAAACAGGTTGAATGGGCAAAAAAACATCTTAATGATGACTGGAATAATACTTTATTTTCAGATGAAACAGCCTTTCAACTAT